TGAGAGTTCTTCAATGGTTCTCACAGATTCAGTTCGCTTGTTTCGGTTCGACAAAATCAACCATCGTTTACGTCTTTGTTGCACCATTAGCCGATCATCTTCAGTAAATTGTACAGTATATCTTTATTTAAATCTGGAATATTGCTGCAACAACCGATAGCACCTCTGGAAGACGTTTCTGCGCACCTTTCGAACGTGTATTGCACCATCCTGAAGGAAATGAGAGGACGTGAGATATCCTACCTTCCTGGGTAGACGTCACAAGAGCCGCTGGACCCATTCTCCTCAAACTCGGTCGTGAAACAAAATGGCGGTGTTTTGGAGCTATTTGTGAGATTTCGTCGGGGCACAGAAAATCGAGGATTGAACGGAATCCAATTTTTTTTTCGCAGAACTATTTCAAATAACAAGTAGATTCGTTTTAGCCAAAAAGATTTTTGGGGTTAGGTGCACTTTAATTAAAGTTTCCTGTTTTGTTAAATCCTAGTTCAAATAAAGTAGCACTGTTTTAACCTATATAACAGAGGCATTCCTTTCCTACTGCATGGCAGATAGGAAAATACCAGTTCGTAGATCCGGACACCTTAGAGTTGATAAATTTGTCAGTTTTATTCTGATGTTAGTATTTATATTCGAACTCTAATAACTCTTCCACTACCTTTCCAGTTTTCAAAAAGGAATTCAAAAGTAATATCCTCTCCCTGTATGTATTAGATTTTACATCCAACCCCCCTCTCTCTTGTTGTCATTCTCTCCTATGCTCCCCCCTCTAATTTTCCAAGCCCCGCTTCCTCCAGGTAATCATTGCACAGTCCCTAAAGGGAACTGAAGCGATCTCCTCAATGTACTGATGATGCTGTTTACCAATAACATGTCACTTGGGCAAAGTGTGAATTACGTCTCTCAGTAATTTGATTAACTGCCTCGTGCTCATACATTCATCTAACGCAAGAGCAAATACTCGGGACAAAATGCAAACGAGACGTGGATCTTCGAGCGCATACTTTCTATCGCTGGGTTACATCTATTTTTTTTTTTGTTTTGTTTTTTTCTTTTGTCATTGCACCAAAATATATCCCATGGTTTTGACGTCTTTGTCGCCATTTCTTCCATTGTACTTAACCGTGTTTCCGCACGCGTTAGAGTCATCTGGATGCCCTCCTGTTCCAAATCCTATTCTGGAATCACAACTGAGGCAGTTATTTTCATTATTAGCGACGATACCAATTCTGGCTCTACAAGAACTGACGCAAAAGGAATTGAACCCTTCCTTATTACAGTTTAACTGCAGAGAGTACTGGGAACCAATCAGCGTCTGCCACATGTTTCGGTCCATTGAGGTGGCCCGATATTGCCCATCGGCGATCAGTGAGTACAGAGAGTTGGCGGTCTTGCTGATAATAATAAACTTTGTCTGTTGTCCAATCTTCATTCCGAGGCAAATCTTCGAAAATGGTATGTTCCAGTAAGTCGGTAACTTGGTCTCTTGCATGTCAAATCCAGTCTCCCCTCCAGGAAGGTTGTATTCATTTCTGTCATTCCAGTACGTAGAGTCATAATGAAAAGTGCTCTAAGAGACAATAGAAGCAAAATAATTATTAGTAGATAGCTAGTGCTTAACTAGAACTAAGTAAAGTTTATCTAGTTCACTGCTAATGTCTCTGACACTTGGGTTTTCAGCGCCTAATAACTAGTGAATTTGTAATTTCAAGGTATAAACCAATATTCAATGCAATGATCAAGCAGACAATGCTGTATGCCTCAACCTGTGTGGACGTCCTGCTCTGTAGGAAACATTCAGAATGTGTTCAGGTTACAGAAACGCGCAACCAATTCAAAAGGAAGACAGAGGGTGGAAGGTCTTTCTCAGTGTCGACTAGCCGCCTTTCTTGTTTTAATTGTTAGACTTGATCCAGTGCTTTGCTTTTTAATATTATCGATGCATATTTTAAGAATCTTTTTCACATTATTAATTTTTAACACGTCATCTTTTCATTCTGTAAACATTTACATGAGGACCACTGGTTTTTCAGTTGCTACTGTTGTGTTTTACCCTCAATAAATAAAGCTTATTTTTATTATTATTATTATTATTATTATTATTATTATTATCATCATCATCTTCAGTATCATTATTATTCAGATCTTGGAAATAATTTGCGTTTGCATTAGTACCTGGTGTGAAGTCATTCAATCAGAGGTGACACTCAAAACCAATTATGACTCGCTTGCACACGTTTACCCGAGCTTCGAGTTTCCTACATGCTTTTTCTTTGGAGCTTTAATTGGTTCACTGGATTGTCTGTGTTATTGATGAGTGGTTTGAGTTAATACTTTGGTTTTCGCTTACTGCTTTCAATGGGAAATCGCTCTAGCTCCTCGTTACCAATACCAGTATTATGTTAGTTAGCTAATTATGCTATCCAGGACATCCCATGTCATCCGTCAGAGAACCAACATCGGAATGGGATGGGCTTTTCCCACCCCTTTCAATCTTTAAGGAAAAAAAATCTTTAGGGGAAAAGCCCTGGGAATGAGGTTGTCAAAGAACGACGGCGAAAGAACTCGAAAAAAAAAATGCGTTACTTCCGTTTCTCTTCGGATTTGGACAAGAGGGCGTTGATTAATTAAGCCAATCAACTGTCCATTTCGGGGTAAGACAGTTGAATGTGGTTACATGATGTATTGTATAAATCCATTTTTTTTTTTTTGNTTTTTTCGGAAAAAAAAAAAAAGAAAATTAAGATGTGCGAGAGTAACTACGGAAAAAGGTAATAATAGAATCCTATTCTGACAAAGCCGTAATATAACCTGACAGCTTTTAATGTCTAGGTTCACCGTGGCATTTGATTGACAATTACTTGGAGAATCTCATTTCAAACTAAGAGAACAACTCTTGGCACTACCTTATTGCCATTGATCTTCATGACCAGCGTCCATCCACCACCTCCGCATGATCCAAGGTCATTAGTCATGTGACAGTAGACAGGAAAAGTGGCTGATCCTAGTTTCAGGGGATAAGCTTTGTTACCTTCAGACCTGTTGAACGATAAAAAGATTCAAGAAAACGTGGGGCATTTTTGCCTAAAAGATGGAAAGTATCCTGTATTGAGTCGTTTGCGAGAAATTCGTAGAATGTAATTACAATTTTTGATGAACATGGAGGCTTGACATTTCCTCTTGTTCCCAGATAGTTTTGTGTTCTCATTTTTTTTTTTTTTTTTTTTTTTTGAAGCGTTTCTCAATTCAGACGCGCGATAATCCTTCTGTGCTTTTGGAAAAAAAAAATCAGTTAAATTTGCTACTTACAAGTTGCTGTCATACAGTTCATTGCAGGTCTGAAATTTAGCTGAGAAGAGAAAATGATACAGTATCCTGAATAATTTAACCTAAAGTTGATTGATTGATTGATTGATTGATTGTTTGAACGATTGATTGATAACTTTATTTCTACACGATAAAATGTTCTTTAGCTCAATTTAAAAGTATAAGATTTAAGTCTGCCTAACTAAACTAAATAATAATATTAAATACAGTATTGTAAGGATAAAAACGTATCAGATCACTAAAACTGCTTTTCAAGGATGCCGTGTCTCATTCCAAGTTGTAATGACGCATTTTACGTTTAAATTCGCTTGACTGTAGATCGGAGCTCATGAGGAATCAAGGCTGTTCCGCAACATAACACCCCTGTTGGAAAAACCTATCTTCGAATAAATTGTGCGAAGTTTTGGAAGAGCCAATTGGTCCTCAGAATTCCTCAGTCGATACGAAGTAATATCATTTCGAGATACGGGTCGAGATTGTAGATATTCAGGGGTCAATCCATGTAAAGTTTCGAACGTGGTAACAGAGGTGGCTACTAGCCTTTGATGACTAAGCTTTCGCCAGCCGAGTGCCTGGAACAGCTTATCAATATCGTCTTCACTGCTGGCAAACAGACAAACAAACGAAAAAAGCACTGGGTGGTTTTGGAGCTTCTGTGGTTTTTTCAGAGAGGCCGACACCGCAGTGTCCCAACCAACACTACTTTGGAAATGGATGAATGCAGTCACAATGTTTATTTTTAAAGCAAAAGGCCATGATCTCAGAGAACACTACAATCATAGTCTCTTGTTCAAAGGTGGTGCTTTAGGGATAACCCTTTTCAGCCTGGAAAAAGGGGAGAGCAAGGAAAAGGAGGGAATGTTTCGGTTGCTAATCGATGGGTAACGTGAGTTGGCGTTTCTATGGCATCCCAAGGTCTCGGGGGATATTTCATATTAATTTGCTGATTCTTAAGCTTAAATATATATTTTTTAGATAGATTTTGCATTTCATAGGGATTATTCCAAAATCTTGACAGTCTTTTTATTAAATTTTTTTTTTCCGGGAGTTTTGGAAAATGATTTGGAAGTCGTTCTAACTGTTTGAAATATATTTCAATTCCAATCTCTAAACAAACGAGTAAAAAGCCCACGTTGAGGGGTTAAAATATATATTTTCTATCAAATACCACGAAATTTGTCCGGTAGTGAGCTATTGCCTCTTTTTACCTATTTCGCAGTTTTCTCCTGTAGAGCAAGCTGGACACACGCAGTGGTATTTCTTGTTTGTAAATCCACTCAGACATGTTCCATTAAAGAAGCAAGGATTACTGGAGCACGCATTCTGATAAATAACAAATGATAAATGACTACTAATTAACTTTATTTGATTGTCAAATGTATTTAGCACTGCCGTGCTAAAAGGGCACTCTGTAAATAAATAAACAAATATTTCAAGTAGGACATAAATTATTAAGAATCCCAACAGGTGGGAGGCTGACCAGTTGGCTGTTTACACATCGCGGTCGAGGGTTTGACCTCGGGACTACCGAAAACAAAACCAGATAGTGGTAGGGTAGGGAATTTGAGCCAGGGACTCTCAGATTTCAAATACAGAGGCCCTTAACCAATCAGCTGGCTAATCAATCATCCGTCTCTAGAACCACATTTTTTCTCGCGCCAAGAACCCGCCTGTTCTGACGACATGAAGTTAAAAACAAGTAATACATTCGTTCAATTAATAACACAAATGTCGGAGCATATTCTAATTACATAGACTACAAAACATGTTCTACAAAAGGACCCTTAATTACAACCGAAAAAAGTCATACTCTTCTTCAAAAAGCTAAATTTATGCTTGGGCTTGTTTTCGGGAAAGATGTTTGCGTCTGATATTTGGGGCTGGGGTATTTATTTCCGAGATTTTTTTCTTTCTTACTTTTTTTTCTTTTCGTGCACTCGAGGAGAGTGGGGGATGGTTGTATGCTGTATTTCGTGGGACTGTATTTTGTTTTCTCACCTCAGTGCCGGTGTAGGTAAAGCCTGGTCGTGGTTTGAGATCATCAGGATGTAAATACTGATCTGAATCGCTCAGCTCGCAAATCACTTTGTCGTTTATTGGTGGGCCGATGTTGTATGACACGCAGCGACTTTGCATAACACATTGACCTCCGCAGGGATTACGTATATCCAAGTGTAGAGTAAGATTTTTAATCACGTGACCCTGAAGAGCATAGCCACCCTTAACGCTAGTAAATTTGACATGTCGCCCGCAAGTACCTGTATATTAATAACAGTATTACACAAACTTGGTCAGAAGCTATGGATCATTCTGAAAATTTTATCATTTGTTAGGTTTGCTAGACACGTTCACGCTTAATGGAAAAATTGCTGTAGATTGAAAGGTATAAACCATAAAAAAGACGACACAGTGGTTTTCTGGAAAACTTGCAAACTAACTTTAATTTGCATTCTTACGGACCGTGTGCATGCATTTAAGGAGTTAAGGAGATCAGCACACGAGCTGTATGGCTTTATTACTACCTTGGCTACATCATATTGAAGAAACTACAGGTTTGGTCGCAGTGTCTGCACGCTCGTGTAAAAATAATCATTTAGGTGCAGGCTGGATCTCTTCCCTATATAGTTCGTGAACAAAAAAAGCTTTAACTTCACTAACTGTTATAAACTTGTGCATTATATCTCGGAGCTGGTGTAGTTCAATTTTCCTTTCTTTTCTAATTCAGCTATCTTTAAGAGGTCATGCATGCATGGATAGCTTCCATGTTTTTCTAAATCATCACTTCGGGCAACGAGCAAATAATCTTGAATATTAATTATTAACACGCTTCTTCAGGACCTCTTCCCATATTTCCACTACGTCGCATGATGTGAAGTTTATACTTTTCTTTTGACGGCGTTTTCTCCATCTAATTTACAATGTTATCAATACTCCTGGAAGAAGTTCGGATAATACTCTGGCATTTTAGCTATTGCTGTTAATGATTGAAAATAATTCCAATTACATAATAAACCAACCAACTCGAGATGTTTTTAGTTCGAAAAAGACGCTTCCTTGCAATGCTACATCACTGACCTTGATTCACAACGGTGACAGTTTGAACCCAAGATTCCCAAATCGAGGACGCGGATAATGAAATTAGTGCAGCAGACGTAAAAATTTTGAAAACATCCATGTTATGTTACGCAGCTCTCTCGGTCAGTCACACCGAAGTTCAACCGGTTTTCTGCTGCACTTAATTTGCTCCACGGCTTATTGCTGTGAGTCATCAATTATGAAAAGCACCGGGGTGCGCGCTTTACTATTTAAGGCCCAAAGATTGCCTCTAAATTATTCAAAATCAAATGCCAACATATCTTTCTATATTCACTCTCGGGCGTTTACTTTAGATGTGCCGGAAACACTTTTACATATTTTTTTCTAACTTTATACCTGCGGTCTGGAAAACACTTTTTTTTTATGACATCTCTCCTTCTTCTTGGGGAAGTTAACCTCATGCAGATATCGATCACCATGGGCTCAACAGAAAATAATAACTTGTTTCTTTGTTTTTGTGTTTTTTTTTTTGTGCGAATTAGTGCAGTTTACCCCACTGCAATAGGGCTTCAAAANTTTGTTTGTTTGTTTTTTTCGTCGGTTATATCTTTGCTGCTTTTTAAGCTCCTCAAACAATTCCGTTATCCGCATATGAGTTTGTTCCGATCAGGGCGTACATTATTATTTCCGCCAATCAGAGAAATAAAACGGCAAACTGAGAGTGACAGTTTGGATGTGTCTGGCCTTTGTCTGATGTCTTATCATCACTTTGTGTTTCAGTGTAGTGAGTGTACTGATTGACTCTGATTAAATTATAGTTTTCCTTTATAAAAAAAAAAAAATATGCCTGAACCTCGATGATATGACGATCGGCCCTGGGTGGTCACTATCTCACACGGCTTCGTAAATACAACTCATTTTAAACTCTCTGAAAACACGAATAGCGAATTTTAATTGACTTTTGTCACGGCACGTAATCATTGAAACTCTTTAGAACCACCGAGTCACTCATCTATGAAGAAAACCTTTTTTTTTTTCGTTCTTTGTTTCTTTGTTTTTTTTCCTTTGATTTGCCGTTTGTGACGATAACTTTTTACGGTAAACCACTGGGACGATAGGTTTTTCCTGCAAACACTATCAATTTCTGATTGAACGGACACTTGAACTGACAACTGAGGAAATCTAACTCTGGGGAGGACTCCTTGCCGGTGGGAACGGAAATTCGTACGCGTCACGATTTCAATGGTCTGCACCACGGACGTCAAGGAAGAGACATAACTCGGTCCAACAGTAGTTTTTTTTTGCACTCGTCAATTCTTATCGTAATCGTCGGTGTACTAGACGTTGTAATCTTCGATGAAATCAATGTAATCGAAAAAGCTTTACAAACGCACTTGCCTATATATCATCCTTTACACGTCAAGTGTTTACAATATGATAATGCAACTTCTAACATACAATACGAGTGGAAAATACTTTAATTAAGATAGAGGATTCTAATCAACACTACAAAGTTTAAAAAACTGAAATAGAGAGTTAAGACTAACATTCATAGCTTGAAATTAAGATAGAACAAACTTAGGAAATTAAAACTGAAATACTTAATTAGACGAAATAAAACTTTATTACTGAAAAATAGTTCAGTTGGCTGGCTTCCGTGGAAACTTGCATAGGGAAGGGAAACTCAAAAGGACGAGATAACGAATTGTTTTTTGTCTACTAAATGAAAGTTAGTAGAAACGACGTGGCACACGCACAGGTGTACAGAGTAGAATATTTAAATTCCTGGTCGTCAACTGAGAAGAGGCTACTGTTGTTTTTCTATTTTTTTTTTTCCAAAATGGCTGTGCGACGGCGAATTTTCTCATAACACGTCAAAGGCTTACACTTTGTCTAGGTATTCCGACTTTCATTGGATTCAAACTTGATAGACAATATCCACTCTTTTTTATCTCAGTTAGGGCTTTTCAATGAAATAATTTTCCTCACGGTGTTAGAATCTATCCTCTCCACCTCAACATTACAGAACGCTTGAGTGTCGTATATTTTGTCTATCTTTTGTCTTCAATCTTTGCAAAAAAACAAACAAACAAACAAAACAAAAACCAAAAAAAAAAGAATAGAGCAAAATGAAAAAGAATATTGCACAGTTTGGCATAGACATAAACTTGAGTGGAATTTCTGCAAAGAATATATAAATATTAGTATTATAAAATGGTAGGCCAATATGCATTGACTGTTATTTGTCTCCGCCACGGAATTTTCCATGTGATAAGAGATTTGATTGCAAACTTAATTAGCTAAGTTTAGGAACAAGCTGTGTTGTGGTGAGCGCGTGCGTGATGGGGGCGTTGAGAGGCGGCCTGGCATTTAGATCAAAAGGGACAACAGGTTTAGTGATTGGAATCTCGATTATGAGTTTTTTGCTCATTCCTACTGACCTTTAATTTTTTATACCCTTCAGTACCTCCCTCATAATATGGATGTGGCTTTGAGTACAGCGTGTACGAGCAAGGTCAGTCTCGAATAGTGACGTAACAAACTAAGTACATCACTGAAGCGAGGGTAAATGATCAGTCTAAATTCGTGTACTGCTATTTTTGAATCGTTATCTAGCTGATGGATTTCGCTATCCACATTTTATTTAGTTTAAAATGCATAACCTTTGGAATTCACATCTGAAATGCTTTTTTTTTTCCTTTTTTTTTTAACAATTTGTACAAGAGTACGTTCGTTTTTAATGACAATGTACGAACTTATCAAATGGGCTTGCCCGTTCTCTTGGCCTGGACACTACGGGCAAAATTTTCTTTCATCACGATTCAATAACGACCAAATAACGATCTTTTGTGTGGCACTTTAAGATTATATTGTATGAATTTTAGAAAAACTAGGTTAATGCAGAAAGTATATATACATTAAGGACCAAATTTAGACACGAAATTACGTTTAAGCATTATCTGGTTGACGTCCGTATTAAACTGGCTATCAGCATAAACGTCCCAGACACCTGATCTATCGATTTAAAAAAAGAAACTAAAGCAAACTATCACTGAGAAAATGACCATTCAGTCGAATTTCATGCATTGGGCATACAGAGAGGTAGTATATTGTAATAAGAGTATTAGATATCCATGCGTCGATAGGTAAGTTAAACGAACAATGTCTTTTGCCTAATTGAATGGCACACGTTTACAAGATGGTCCAAATGAGGTTCAACTGATAACTGAGAATTCTCAGAAATTTAACCGTCAGCTGAGTTATGCCCTGCAAATTTACCGAGGACTGCGAAATAGACTAAATTTTACTTGTAGCTCAAAAATCGCCTGAAATAATTATAGTCAATTATAATATATGTAACTGAGAAAATTACCTAATTGTGACTGGCTGACGACAGCATGCAATTTTATCGTTGATTTTTAACTGCACTGCTGCGAATAAACACGCTTACGTTGATGATTTATTTTAATTTTCTCAGTCTATGATCAATGATTAGTGATATTTTAAAAAGCTCGATTAATTAAATCAGTTAAAAAGGAATTAAACTGCTCGTGACATTTGAAGAACTCTTTCAAATTGCCCTCGCCCAGAGGCTCGTGAACTTTGAAATATCACTCGGAGTGCAGCACAAGCTAATACCAGTGATTTCGTTTTTATTGAGCGCTTCCCTTTCTACTGGCGTTCTTTTGGTTGAGTTATCGATCGCTATTTATCTCAATGCACCAAGATGTATCCCATGACTTTAATGAATCTATCTCCTTTATCTCCGCCGTGCCTCGCCACGTTTCCACAAGTGATGGAGTCATCTGGATATCCTCCAGTTCCAAACCCGATTCTGGAATCACACGAATTGCAGGCATTTTCGTTATTGCTAGTGATACCGATTCTGGCCACGGATTTACCAGAATCAGTGCAGATGGGATTGAATCCTTCTATATTACAGTTGCGTTGCAATGAGGCCTGAGAACCAATCAGCGTCTTCCACATGTTACGACCCAGTGAGGTGGCGCGGTATTGCCCGTCAGCGATTAGTGAGTACAAAGAATTGGCCTGCTTGTTGATGACAATGAAGTTGGTCTGTTGGCCGATCTTCATACCAAGACAGATCCTGGAGAATGATGTGTTCCAGTAGGTCGGTAACTTGGTCTCTTGTGAGTCAAACCCAGTCTTTCCTCCAGGGAGGTTGTATTCATTTCTATCATTCCAGTATGCTGAGTTGTAATGAAAAGTGCTCTAAGAGTAAATGAAAGAATAACTAACTAGTGAGTTATCAACTATACACACGGGAGTAGTAAACAAAATCCACTATATTTGTACGTGCGGTTGTGGTCGCTTGCATTATGAAAATAGCTTTTTGTTCAGTTGCCTTGTCTTTATCTACGTGATAAAAAAAAAAAAANTTCTCAAATGTTAAGGAGGCGAAGGAACCCATCCAATCCAAACTGTCATGTGTCAATTAAGAACTGCCAAGCGATCCAGAAGAGCTGTGTAGATCGCAAGTCTAACGCTTGGTTTACGCTCAGCTCAGAGAGCGAGTCCATGGTTTGTGACACAGGATTTTTTGGGGGTCGACTGACGTTCACGGTTTTCAAATCACTAAATGGCCGGCAGTCCTAGTTTAGGAAGTCGAGCGAACCGATCATATCCATACTATTGTATTTCGAATAAGAATCTGCGAAGCGATCTAACAGGTTCTTGTTCTTAATCGACATATGATTGTTTGAATTGGATGGGTTCCTTCGATTCCTTAAATTTGAAAAAAAAAATATCAGACTGACGGTCATTTAGTGATTTGAAAATCGTGACCGGCTGCCGGTCATTTAGCCACAGCGAAAAAAATGTCTCCCTTAGACAGTCTACTTCTTGTGCGCTGCAGTTCCTGTAGACGCCAAAAACGCCTATGGGGAGATTACTGCTTGGGAAGGAAACCGAATGTTATTCAAATGTTCCTACTATAATTGCGATACGGTCATTGTGAGGAGTTAACTCGATTGTTAACGTATCTGGCCTTAATTGCTGTGGTGTTCTTATGCTGAGTCTGAACTTTGCTTTGCAATGTGAGAACGACTTCTGGCCGGGGAAGAAGTACGGTCGTCGCGAGTCACTGGCCTAGCTTCCACTATATGAGGAGAGGTCAAAAAAATCTGAAGGGAACAAAACGGTCTAAAATTGCATCAAAGACACAAAGGCAGCCATATGTTGAGGTAAAGGAATTTTTTTTTTTTTTTTTTGGTGCTGATTTCTCAACGAGAAATTGAATGTTGATCTTTCTTGACATCCGTAAAACCTAACTCCGAAACCTTGTGATTTTCTGAGTACCTTGTCGCCGTCAATCTTCATGACAGTCGTCCACGCTCCATCTCCACATCCAAAATCTCCCACGTGACACAGAACAGAGGTTGGTGTTGGACCAAGCGCAGCGTTACCAGTTGGTTGACGGTGAACCTGTTGAATATGAGGAAGTTAAAACAAACCACAGCGGCAGCGACAATGGGAACGTCACTGCAAACAATATGATGAGCAGAACTAAATAAGAACCTCCATTTAAGGTGGCTCAGAATAGTTTGCAGCACTTTCCAAGACATAGATTTTGATGGGTCATTTTATTCACTCTGTATCGGTTGATGCCGCAATCATGGTATCAAAAAAAGAAAAATGGCCAAATCATTGGTGAAAATTTTGGTGTCAATTTTGTGGCACAATTGTTTACCATAGCAACAGTGTGACCTGCTGAAAATACCCTTAATTTAGCTTTAACATCTTTTAAATTAAAAAAAAAAAAAGCTCGGTAATCCCTATCCCTTTTTTGTTATCGAATTTTGATAAGCGTGATTAGTTTTACAAAATGTTAAAACACTGCGTTGAATTTCGGTGCAATTATGTGACATGCTCCTTAGGCCCAGTTCAGACGCCGAACTTTTCATGAGCCGAACTTAATTCGAATTTGGACCGACCCAAATTATCAAAAGTACAGCTGTTGATTTAGGCGCCGAACGTAATTCGCCGAACTTTATTTAGTCTAACCAAATCACATCGAAATGTCAGCGATTTTCAGCCAAAGTGAAAACTGCTCGTAAAATACGTTATAAGAATTTATGCATTAGGTTCGGCAGAAGAAAAGTTCGACGTCTGAATCAAAGCCGTTCCAAAGTCGAAATTCCTGGCTAAGCTAGGCGGGAAGAACGGCTGAGCCGTTCCAAATTCAAATGGCCGTTCTTAATTGATTGCAACGCTGAACTTTTCATGTACTTAATTCAATGTATTTGGTTCGGCTCATGGAATGTTCGGAGTCTGAACTGGACCTTATAGGAGACTCTCCTTTCTACTTTCAATCCAGTTTGTGGTTTATGGTGGAGTAATAACCCATGCTCTAATCGGGGACACTTATTACAATTAAACTATACCCCTAGAGTGCACAAAACACAACGAGTCCGGTGTGGTCTGCATGACTTACTTGTGTGCCTCGTAAATTTCTTTACATGACTTTGCAGCTGAAAGAAGTAGAACCGTGAGAATTACGCTCTAGTGAAAAAGGTCAGAAAACGTTTTTACATACTTTAATTTTTATCGCAAAAATCATTCGGGTTATCTACTTCACCTGTTTCGCAATAGTCCCCGATGAAACCTTTCTCACAAACGCATTTGAATGTGTCATTTTTATCATTCTCCACACAAGTTCCTCCGTTTTGACACGGCTTGGAAGAACAAGGTGTCTGAAAGTACAGATAAATTAAAGGATTAGTACTGTGCAACTTGTTAGAGGGTTGCTTTCTTTGATTCTGCACACAAACGGAAGCTGTGCTAGTTTTGACCTCGGGCTCATTAGTAACTCGGAACTAAAGTACTAAAAAAAATTAGCGCGTTGCGACTTCAATTCAAAGTGCACAAAGTTAAACGTTTTAAAGGAAACTGTTGAGCTGCGTAATCGGCGACCCTTCTTTGCTCTGAAGCATGGCTTACGTTCGAAGCATCAGGCTCACTAACTCGCCACGGCGGTAAATTAATCAACTTCAAGTTGACAAATAGCTAAGTGACGGTAAAATGATTTTCTGTCCATTGACCTGCAGCAGCACTTTAGCAATGTCTATGCAAGGACTGTGTAGTACCTGAACGTATCCGGGAATAAAAACCTTTTAAAAGAAAGAAATGCTTTATTGAACACCCCTCGACTCCCGTGTAGGTATGGAGCTAGACGGGTAATTTGGCAATAATATCATGTTACTATCACCCCAAGAGCAGTGATTCCAAGTAATCAGACTTGGCAAAAATGATGCCCTGGCAACTCGCAAAAGTAGAAACCGTGTGCTTATCTAGCTAGGTCGGATTGTATTCTGTCAGCTTATGATATTACCCACAAAATATGACAAAATAATTCCAATGTACACTTGCGTGTCGACCTGGCCTTACCTTGGAAAAGTGATGCGAAGTCCTGTTTTCTTTAAATTCCGTGGGGCCCAGGTATTTGCCAGAGGACAGTATCTCGCACCAAAGTTTCCCATCGGCGCCTTTGAACGCGGCCAGGCTCACAGAAACGCAGGCAGGGATTTGGAGGCATTCAAAGGTGCAATCAAAGATATCGTCAACTGTAATTGTTCCAACTTTAGGCATACTCAGGTAGCGAAACTCGTGTCTTGAGAAAACATATGAAACATTTGTAACCGCTGAAAAAAAAAAAAAAAAAGAGAGAAATATAATGCTTTGAGAATTGCTTGGCGGTTGAAATAACACGGCAAAAAACGTCCACCTATGAGGCAATGGGAAAAATTTTTTCATCATATTCAAAGCGTCAGTTTTTCGCCAAAGAAAATCCCAACTTATAATGATCATGCGTATAGATATCTCAAGGTTATAACTCAACCAGGCTGGTTTTGATTGATAAGTAACGCCTAAAAAACTGATTGCAGGTCATGATAATGGCTGGTGGAGCGAGCTTGTTCCTGTGCCGGTGCCAAACGTTTTCCCATACTGCCTGACCTAGGGCAGTCATTATGATATCTCTAATATCAACTTGGGCTCAGATTTTTGGAAAGTTGCAAGAATATGCTAAAGAATGATCTGAACCATTTGAGTACACTAAATAAATTATCTCAGAGTGCAGAGCGGCATCTATGGCAATCCTCTGACCACTCGGTTCTACAAACGATCGATTGCATCATGTCGCGTCAGCATTGTAGTGTGGCTTTGTGAGTTATGAACCTTTTTGGGCCTTTGCTCATGCCCAAGGACAGTGCTACCAGAATACGTGTTACTGGTCATCCAGTAAAATCAAAAAGCAGTACTGGAAATCGCTCTGAAGTTATTGGACATGAATGTGCGTGCCCACAATCAAGAAACACGACAACAGGAGACTCGTACGACAGCGACATCGCCGACGAAACAACTTAGCGCAATGCGCCAACTACAGCTGTTGAAAGCCAACAAATCACAGGGGTGCTCGTACTTTATATTCGACGCTTAACCGGTCCACTTACTCGTCGCCTAATGAAGACAAGTGGTACCATGGTAACAGACTGCGTTCAGCAGTTTCGACGACTGAGGTCCGGAAAAACGGGCTAACGTATAAGTTTACAACCAGTAAAGCCGCAAAATAGAAATAAAAAATGTTAGAAATGGGTGTAGGAATTTTCTAGAGCGATATATAAGCTAGTGTAAAATATAAAGATATACTTGCTAATCGAATAAATACCGCAAATTACTCTAATTAGTTTACAGAGAAAGCTTAAGTCAATAATTATATAACACGGAAGGTTTTCTTGTTGACTGGGAATGAGTCAGAATCAGGTAATTTTTAAATCGCTTGTAATTAACACAAATTGAATATAATTTAGGCATTGATATTCTTAAAACATGTCTGCATTATGATTTACATTTTTAAAAACTTTCAGATTTTAACCAGGCTTTTTAAGGAATAATATCAGGAAAAATCAAATGTTTTCATATTTTGCGGTAAACAGCCTTTCTTAGAGAGTGCGACAAAATTTTAAATAATAATAGTAATAATAATAATAATATTTATAACGTGCAAATTTCATAAAATGTGTTAAACGAAGCAACTTGATGTGAATATAGCTTATTTAGCTTTGCGGTTTTCAGTTCAGTGACATATATATATAAAACTGGGAACATGCAAGGTCATCATCGATCATATAACTAGATGAATAACATTCACAAATAACCCGGTGAATGTTTACTTTCTTGATAAGAGGTCAGGGTTCATTTGAAACTTGACTGGTCAGAATTATAAACAACTGGGAACAATAAAACAGTCAAAATTAGTTTTTGAACTAAATTCTAACGAAAAGATTGTTCCAATTTTCTATCAAGCACTTGATATAGTGTCAGTTTCCCTAAAATAGAAATCTCTCTGTGTGTGAGGAAAATGAGAAGAAATAGAATCGAAGGCTTACCCGTTAAACAGAATACTCCAGGTATTGAAGAAGATAACACCTGCAAAGGCGCTACAGAAATGAAACTAGATAACATGGCCAACTAGAATATTACAAACGTGTCTTCGATAACATGTCAATTGCATTAAGAACCTCTGCTCCTAACTCACAAAGTTGAAAGCCAGTTTCACTTCGCTCCTTTATGGTCTCGATTTAATTGAAAACTTAATTACACGTAAATTATTCATAGACACTAAGTAGTAATCTGTAACCTTGCTTTATTAGGCTTAACTGCTGTTAAGGAAAACGTTCCAGAATAAAAACAAGCATTAATTGTGATGAATGTTATATTGAATTAACGTATCAATTACACCTTAGCAATAGTTATAAGATACTACCCAATGAGTTTAAACCACTAACTTTCAGAGTATTTTTCTGCTTACAATAATATTTTGTTCACAGTGGTCATGTTTAGCGTTTTAAATTAAGGAAAATTCTCAAAAGAGAATTCTTCCTTTATGTGGTCAAAAAGTGCTTAAAAGGACTTATTTTTAAGAAGTACTCCGTCAGTACCACTATTTGCCTTTAGCGTTAAAAAAAATCATAACCAAAAATAGGAGCGATTGTTATGCTTTTATGGGTTGGTGTCACCTTTAAGCTTAAGGAATCCGAAGGGTTTTTTACACGCTTAATGAGATCAGGCTTCACAGATTAGTCCATTAACAAACATTGTCATTAGACTGAAGTCCTTCTTTTCTCTGCTCAGGCTCAGCGAGCAATAAGTAGAACTGAAGGCGAGTGCAATTTGAAAGAATTTTCAAATATCACCTGGCCTAGAATTGCACTCACATTCATACGGTTACTCCTTTATTATATGATGCAGAAAGTTACGAAAGCACGCATTAATTTTCACTGCAGCACGAATTAAAGATAAACGATAAATTGGCTTGCTCTAAGCCAATCACAATAAAGTAGCTTGCTAAGCCATACATCAACAGGCTTTATAAATATAGGTTGCCATACGGTCAACGCTGTGCATGCAATATCTTATGAAATAATAAGAATAATATAAGTAGGAACTCTAGACGTGCTCGAGAAACTTGGTCGCCATGTTGGGGAGTAGGGATGGCGCAGCGGTGAGAGCGCCCGCCTCCCAACAATGTGGCGCAGTTCCCCGGTGATCTATGTCTGTTGAGTTTGTTGTTTGGTTACGCCCTTGTAATAAGGTTTGTGCAAAACTGATTCAATTGATGCCCTTCAGTATCTTATTCATGATATGGATGTAGCTGTAAGTACAGTGCGTACGAACAATTAAAGGCCGTCTCAAATATTGACGTACACAACCAAGTACATCACTGAAGCGAGTGTGAATGAACAGTCTAAATTCGTGTTCTGCTATTTTTTAAGCGTTACCAAAAGGGTGCATTTTGCTATCTTTGACTAATTAAGTTTGAAACGCACCTGGCCTCGTTTGGAATTTACATCGGAAAGGAGTATTTTTACAGTTGGTAGAAGTGTAGGTTCGTTTATTTTGTTTTGTTTGTCTTGTTTGTCTGTTTTGTTTGGTTCTTTGTTCGTTTGTTTGTTTACTAATTATTATCGTAGAAGCTTATCAATTGGGCCTAGACACAACACTGGTGATGGAAATGTTTTTCATCATCATTCGATAAATAGCATATAACCCTCTATCTTGTGGCAGTTTAGGATTTTAGTGGAAACTGGTTAATATGGACATTAAAGGAAACAACATTAAGACACACAATTAAGTGTCAGTATTTTCTTGGTGTCCGTATTAAGGGAGTTATCAGCATAAAAGTCACGGACACATGTTTTATCGATATAACGACTAAAGCTCAGAGAAAATGCACAGTCAGTCGAATGTCAAGCAATGGCCAAACATATAGGCAATATAGTGACGATCTTATTAAATATTCATTACATGTTATGTAACGAATCAGTTATGTCTTTTGGCAAATTAAATTGCATGCATTTGCATAATTGTCCAAACTGGGTTTATTAACTGATCACTGAAAACTGGTCAAAATTCTAACTGTCAGCGGAGTAATGACCTAAAACTTTACTGAAAGGTGAGAAATTTAATTGATAGCTAAGAAATCGCCAACAATTTAACTGAAATAACACTGGTAATCAATAAAATTACTTCATTGAGACTGGCTAACAACAAACCAGTTTATCGTTGACTTTTAGCTGTACTGCTGCAAATTAGTGCGCTTGCGTTGCCAATTTAATTTTCTCAGTCTATGATGAATGATTAGTGATATTAAAGTTCGATAATTACATTAATTGATAAATGATTTTTTTTATTATTGTTTTTTTGTTTTTGTTATTGAGCGCTTCACCTATTATTCGCGTTATTTCAGCCGAGTTATCGTTCTCTATTTCTCTCATTGGACCAAGATGTATCCCATGGTTTTAATGAATCTCTCCCCATTATCTCCGCTGCGCTTCGCCACATTTCCACAAGTAATAGAGTCATCTGGAGGTCCTCCAGTACCAAACCCGATTCTGGAATCACACGAAGAGCAGGCATTTCTGTTGTTGCTAATGATACCTATTCTGGCTTTACGGCTGGTGCAAAAGGAATTGAATCCTTCTTTATTACACTTGTATTGCAATGAGGCCTGGGAACCAATTAGCGTCTTCCAGGTGTTACGACCCAGTGAGGTACCGCGGTATTGCCCGTCAGCGATCAGTGAGTACAGAGAGTTGGCCTGCTTGTTGATGATAACGAAGTTGGTCTGTTGGCCGATCTTCATACCAAGACAGATCTTGGAGAAGGATGTATTCCAGTAGGTCGGTAACTTAGTCTCTTGTGAGTCGAACCCAGTCTCTCCTCCTGGAAGGTTGTATTCATTTCTATCGTTCCAGTATGCTGAGTTGTAATGAAAAGTGCTCTAAGGAGAAATAAAAGAATAAATGGCTACTGAATTGCCAATTAAAAACGTCTGAGTTGTTAACAAAACACGGCTTGCTCAGTTGTACGTGCTTTTGCCGTAGCTAAATTATGAGAATAGTTATTTTTTCAGGCTAACTTTTTAGTTGCTTTGTCTTAGATAGCGTTTTAGTGACGGTTGGAATTGGGCCAATAGGAGTGCAGAATGTAACATGATTGCTATCATGCTGCAACGGCTAAAGATGCCAACAAAGCCGTGCGCGTGGTATACGTAAGATTACAGAAAAACCAAGAGGAAGAATTTAAAAATAAACATGAGAGGGATTACCTCAAGTATAGGTGCTATTTGGAGGACTAGTAATAGTAGTAGTACAGTGAAAACATTCGCCGATACATACATGTACACCCAAACCCCTGCTGTAGGGTGGGTCAGGCAGAAATTAAAACAAAAGCCTGGGCTATGGGAATGATAAGTTAATTTCTATCTTGCTGAATGCGGCTGTTGCGAGTTTATCTGCAGTTTGGCAACAATTTTAATTGGTTGTTTCAACTAGTCAGTTTTTACAGTGTAAAACCTAACTTTGAAACATTGTGATTTTCTGAGTACCTTACTTCCATCAATCTTCATGACAGTCGTCCATACACCATCTCCACATCCAAAATCTCCCACGTGACACAGAACAGTAGTTGGAGTTGGACCAAGGTGTAGTGTAACCAGTTGGTTGACGAAGAGCCTGCTGAATATTATATCAGGGAGGTAAATAAAATCACAACGGCAACGGCAACGACAATGTCACTAAACAAGGCGGGCTTAATGATAATGGACACTGGTTGTGCACGTCAGTTTTAAATCTTGGTACTGACAAAAGATGACGTAACAATGACCAAATCCTGTGTAGCCTGGATAACGTGACATACTGAATGACTCTAGAGGTAAGGGATATCGTGAGATTCAAACTTTAAGTATAAATTTACTCTTTAATCGAGTTTTGTGGCGAATGGAAGGTAATTATCTAGACCCTGAATAAGTAAACTAAAAGACAACTATTGGAATACAACTAAATTGTTGAATCCCCGAAAGCATCGCAGTGTCTAGGATGCAATGGCCTCGCACAATTTACAGTATCTGTTGCGGATCAAGATGACCTACTTGTGTGCGTCATAAAGCTCCTTGCATGACTTCGCAGCTGAAAAAAGACACGAAAATGGATTCATGTTAAAAGCAGCGTATCGAAAAGACGTCTTTAAGCCTTTTGTCACACCAGAAATTTAATTGAAGTCATGAGACTATGATCTAGATCATAGTATCTTATTGAAAAAAAAGTTACCTGTTTCGCAATATATTCCGATGAAACTTTTCTCACAATCGCATTTGAATGTGTCATCTTTATAGTTCACCTCACAGATACCTCCGTTTTGACAAGGATTGGAAGAACAAGGGGTCTGAAACCACAAATAATCTAAATGACCAAAACTGTAGAACTCGAGCGAGTGTTGTTTTCTTTGCCCTACTTTGGACTTAAAGCTAGAGAAAACGATAAAGCACACACAAAGAAGTGAAATCTGGGTTAAGTTTACATCGCGTTATAATCATAAAGTCAGACGTGAGTAGATACAAAATTGAGTGCATGCGACTTCAAAGTGAAGAAAGAGACTGCGGGCTGCATAAGCTTGCAATGGTCGGCCCTTTTTTGCTCTAACCAAAGCTACCGTTCGAGGGGCCAGCTTCACTAACTCATCGCGGCGGTCAATGGCCAATTCCTTAATTCTATGAGAGGCACCTGCCAGGAACGTGGTAGTTGTAATCATCTAAACAGAAAATATCCAGCTAAAGATGATAAATTTAATCACCACCACGATTTTCTGTGGGTACGTCTCTAATGGAAATTGGTCATTAGCCTTCATCAACTTCAACTTGCCAAACAGCCATGCTAAGTGTCGCTTCTCGTTGCCTAATTTCATGTGGTAATTGAGCGTATCAGACAAAAGTTTCAGACAGAAATAGTTAATGGGACACCCTTGGCTAAGGCTTTATGGCTAATGTGGCAATGATATAATTTAAAGCTACTATCACCGTAAGTGATAAATTAATTCTAGGAATCAGACCCAGAGAAAAAGGGTACAGCATTGAATTGCAACGGCAGATATCGCGTGCTTTCCAAGGTGGACTGGTACTAGGTCAATGTATGATTTTACCCATTAAATATGACAGAATATTTCCAACGTACACACACTTGTAGACCTTGCCTCACCTTGGAAAAGTGATGCGACGTCACGTTTTCTTTAAACTCCGTGGGGTTAAGGTATTTACCGGAGGACAGAATCTCACACCAAAGCTTTCCATCGGCTCCTTTGGAGACGGCCAGGTTCACAGAAACGCAGGTAGGAGTTTGGAGGCATTCAAAGGTGCAATCAAAGATATCGTCAACTGTAATTGTCCCAACGTTAGGCACATTTAGATAATGAAACTCGTGTCTTGAGAAAACATCAGATAAATTTGTTTTCGCTGAGGAAAGAGGAAAAAGAATATTGTGAGGTTTGTTTAACAGCTGTTATAGTATGACAACTAAAAAAGTGCCGCTATAAGGCAATGACGAATTTTTACTCGCGCTACCGTAGGAAAGCCCGTGTCATAAAATGCAAGCCGTTCTTGGTCGCCAATAGGGGGATCATGGTCCCAGGAGTTCCATGCGTGCTGATGAAGGACCGAAATAGAATGCTTCTTGGTTCGTTTTGCAGTTGCCTATAACACGGCCAAAAACATCCAGCTATGAGTCAATGGCAAAATGTGTCCATCGTATACAAAGCGTCACTTTTACGCCAATGTAGTTTCCAACATAGAATCATCATGTGTGTAGATATCTCACTGTTATAACTCAACCAGGCTACAGCATGAGGTTCTCACTGAAAAGTAACGCCTAAGAAATTGCTTGCAGGTCATGGACGGCGGAGCGATCTTGTTCTAGTGCCAGTGCGAAACGTTTTCCCTTCTGGCATGACCTGGGTCAGTCATTGAGAAATTTCTAATATCACCTTGGGCTTAGTTTTCTGGAAAGTTGTAAGAATGTGCTGATGAATGATCCCACACCGTTTAAGTTGCTAAATGAATTATTTCAGAGTGCAGAGCCGCATGCATGGCCCATGACCGTCTAGTTCTACAGACGATCGATTGCGTTGTGTTGGCATCAGCGGTGACGTGTGGTGCTGTAAAATATGAAGCTTTTGGGGGCTTTCATCGAGCTCAAATGCAGTTGTCTCAGGGTGTATGTTACCGACTAAAATCAAAAGCGACAAGACAGTACTCAGAATCACTCTGGAGTTATCGAATTTGTGGATATAAGATTTCAGCCTGACAACTTTAACGGGCATAGAGTTCCAGAACCATCGATGCGTATGATCCGATCCAGAAACACAAGAACAGGGGAGCCGTACGACATCGAGTCGTCGAGTGAACAACAACTTAGCGAGACAGCTAGCGAAAAGCGCCAATTACAGCTGTTGGAATCCAACAAACAGCGGGGCATCGTACTGGTAGTGTGCATTCAAAACGTTGCGTTCTACATCACAAGTCACTAGATCGTAAGACCAACTGATTATACTCTATTCTTACAATTTTTCTTCACTATGATGAACAACCACAATATTTTCTGATGAAAAAGTTAACTATGGAAACAGATCACGTCCGAGGTCCGAAGAAACGTTCTTACTTAGAAGTTTTCAACCAGCCGCAAAATAGAAAAAAAAAAATTGTTAGAATCGAAATGGGTATAAAAATTTTCGAGAGCTATATATAGCTACTGTAAAATATAAAGATACAAATTAAAATAAATACTGAAAACTGCTTAAATTAGTTTATAGAGAAAGCTTAATTCAATAATATTATAACATGGAAGGCTTTCTTGTTGACCGAGGATGCACCAGAATCAGGTAATTTAAAGTGACTTGGGANTAGGTAAATATACATGTATAGCAGATGTACAGCAGATACCATCAGAGAACTGTGAACTATTTTAAGGTGTTAAAAGAATCAATTACTAATAAACGGTTATGAAAATAACCCAAACATGATTTTTTTCTTTTTTTTTTTTTTTTTTGGAAAAAAGCCATTCTTAGAAGTAGCACAAAATCACATAGAGTAAATTGATACGAAAAACTTTTTTGAGCTCTCTACATTTAAGTTCAGAGACATTCATAACCAGGAACAAGCAATGTCATCTCATCCGCACTAGATGGACAACATTCACAAATAAGGTGGTGCAAGTTTACTTTCTTAATAAGAGGACAGGGTTCAATTGAAACTTGACTGGTCAGTAGTGCAAACAAATGGAAACATAATTAATCAGTCAAAATTATTTTTTGAACCAAATTTAACGAAAGAATTGCTTCAAATCTCTATCAAGCACTTCAAGTATTAGTTTCCCTGAAATTGAACCATCTCCGTGTGTGATAAATATAAAAAAAAAAAAGAAATAAAATCGAAGACTTACCTTGTAAACAGAATACTGGTATTAAAAAAGATAACAGCTGCAAGAGCGCTACACAAATAAAACTGGACAACATGTCAATTGCATGAAGTCCAAACTAACAAAGTTCAAAACCATTTTCACTTTGCTCCTTTAAGGGTTTTATTCAATTGAAAACCAAATTAACGTAAATTATTCATGACCACTTAGTAGTGACCTTACTTCATTAGGGCTTACTGGGGTTAAGGAAAACTTTCCAGAATTAAAACAAGCCCTAAAATTGTGAGGATCGTAATATTGAAGCTTTAGGAATCCGAAGGGTTTTCAGAGGCTTAAAGGGATTACGCTTCATAGATTGGTCTATTAACAAACATTGTCGTGAGGATTAAGTCCTTCTTTTCGCTCTTCAGTCTCGACACGCAATAAGTACAGTTCACCACTGAAGGCGAGTGCAATTTGAAACAGTTTTCAAAGATCACGAGTAGTGTAGATCAGTCCTCAATTGCACTCGCATTCATAACACAAATCTTTTATTATATGACGCAGAACATTGCAAACGTGCGCATTAATTTTAAATACAAAGTAGTTTACTCAGCCATACAATAACAGGCTTTACAAATATAGTTTGCTATACGGCCAATGCTGTGCATGTAATGTCTTATAGAAACTTATCATTTGGACCTGGAAACAACACTGGTGATGGAAGTGCTTCCCATCATGATTGGATAAATAGTATAATATATAGATCTAGGCCAGCCTAAAAGCGTAGCTCCTAAACGGGTTGTTCAGAGCCCGATTAAGCTAACCCAGGAAAAGGTAGATTTTTGATTTCATGTGACTTTGCTGAGAAGTTTTCTGTAGATAGTTTGGCCTTCTGTTTTCAGTTTTAATAATCACCATATATACACAAAACAAAGCAGCAAAAAATATTTGTTCAGAAGAAAAAGCTATAATACGGTTAACTTTCAATCCTGGGTTAGCGTTAACCGGCTTCCGACATTATTATTATTTCTAATGCTTTTACTGTCTTACAAACGTCACTTACAATACATCAAAAACAAAAACGTATTTACAATACTTGGCATTACCTTACTTACTTAGAATACGAAATAACTACTTATTATGACTTACACATTACGTTACTTAAGGAGTTACAATACAATGCAATCA